TCCCCTGCCCTCCGGTGACTCCTTGTTGGAAGCAGCCCATTAATACAGGCGACAGATCCCTTATTTACTGCCCAAAGGGTTCAGGAACCGGGCTTGACATGAATTGACTCATTCAGCTGCCTGCAAACCCCGGGGCTGAGCTGCACGTTACAAGTGAACCAGCGCAGAGTTCTTTGGTAAGGCCTTGGTTTGGGTCGTTACCACGTATGAGCCAAGAGCCTTCACCGATTGTTTTGCTCGTGGCATGATCAAAGGAAGGCAGCTTTCTGCAAGCGTTAAATGGTTCCTCGCCTTGTTTCTGTCTGCAGCAGCACTCAGCAGGATTGTGGCTGTAAAAACATTTTGCTGACCATGACACTCTTTTCTGAGGGAACATGTACTATGCATTTGACAATTAATAAATGGAGTAAGTAATATTCTATTCTTAGGCCAAAAATCCCACCTCATTACCTAGCGGCACCTTCAGGAAGACAGGAAGATCGTGTCTCCCATAAAGCTTAGTTAAGTTGCATGATTATCACTATTGTGGCTGTAAAAACATTTTGCTGACCATGACACTCTTTTCTGAGGGAACATGTACTATGCATTTGACAATTAATAAATGGAGTAAGTAATATTCTATTCTTAGGCCAAAAATCCCACCTCATTACCTAGCGGCACCTTCAGGAAGACAGGAAGATCGTGTCTCCCATAAAGCTTAGTTAAGTTGCATGATTATCACTGCAGAAATTGGCCTTGCTCTCCCTAAGGCTGATTCACGTTTCCAACTGGATTTTTCTGTCTGATATTTTCTCCACCTCTAATTGATAAAAGCCAAATGTATACCTTTTACAGCATTTTTGAATGCTTGTATTTAAAAAGAGCTTTTGTTCCATGTTGGAATCGCACAGCTGTGAAAAATCTCAAAGGTGGTAAATCAAATAGACAAAATAGAAGTTTAACCTCAAAATCATCCTTGAGCCTGGCCGGGGTCTGTGTCCGGGGCTTTGTAGGATCACAGAGTCAGGGCTGAACCATCTGAAAGCCAGAAAAACTGTACTACCGTAAGAGTCTTCCTGTGTGGAAGAGCTTATTTGTGGAAGACCTTACTTTAGGGTTTTATTTTCATACTTTATCCATGCTAAATACATTTTAAATTACTTCTTTAAACTTCTTTGCCCAAAGCGTGAAAGCTAGGAGACTTTACTCTTCAATTACAATCCACACAGAAAGTAGGTTATATAATGCCAGTGCACATTTTTATTACAATGAAGACAGAAGTTAGGAGTGACAATTACTACAGTTTCATAGATGCTTTAGTAGATCCAGTAAGCCAGCTGAGGATGAAAGGTTGCACAAAGAGACCCAAGTAAACATGACAGAGGTGACAGATGAGGCACAGTGCAGCGGCCCCTGCGGTCAGTGGGAGCGATCCAGCTGCTGCTTCCCTCCCATCCTCAGGTCAGAGCCTTACAGGCATCCCCCAGCTGCGTGTGAGCACACAGGTCCCATACTGAGCCCTGCCCAGTATCTGACACACAGAAAACTCACTGAAGATTGCAGTGAGAGGCTTAAATAGCTTACTAGCAATAATTCTTTTTCCCGCCAATAGCTACTAAACCTGTGCTGTCTTCTTCAACCTTACAATTAAAAAAATAATGATTCATCCCTGTTTGATTCGTCAGCAGACTATTGCTCTTTGCGTTTCTTCAGAAATCCCCATGCGAGCCTGGGAAAGATACTGGCAGAGGACAGAAATTCTCCTTGCAAATGCTCCATCAGCTGAAGCAATCTCCTTTTCTCATTTTTACTATGCTCAGACACCGTAAGGCCTTATAACAACATCATATACTTTTCAGAAAGGCATTCCACTCTTGTGAAAGATTTGTTTTAAAATCTGCCATTAAAAATACTAAAATGTGACACTAGCTTGAGATCAATGGTACAAGGAAGAAAAATGGGACTGATTAAAACAAGGCATTTAAAAAAAACCACAACCCTTTTTCTTATTTAAAAAAGGAAAACTAGGTTTTAAGATACTACAAAGTTCAAGAGTACAAAAATATGTACCTTTTAGAAATACCCAAGCCTATGATCACATAAAATAAGTATCAACTTAATATAAAAATCTTCATAAAAATATGGCCACCTATATTTAACCAAGTCCTCAAACCTGTCCTACGCTGATATAAAGGCTTTGTTGAGAAATTTAGTTACGTCTAAACAGCTATTTTATAGATTAACTTTGTAATAAGTAAAACCAAGATTAAATACTGCTGTTATTAGAGAAATTCCAGCTTGAGAAGGGATGAGAACATCAGGGGTCACAGGATAATGGTTGCCTCATGCCACATCACATTTATGGCAAAAGCATAACTGCAGAATATTAATATGAAAGTAAATAGCATTTCCGCATCCCAAAGAGCAGCTTGAAATAATTGCACAAGTTCCTTGCATTTAAATGTTATAAAGCTTTATATTTGTTCTTGAACTTACAGGGAGAGCCTCACTCCTGTGCCAAGTGCCAGCACAAGACAACTTGCCATGAACTTCACGTTAGAGAGGAGACAGTGTGCTTTTGTTGGCCCTTACAGAAGGTGAATCATGGCTAATTGTTATTTATAGAGGATAAAAATCAGTCTACTAGGTCTGATAGACTTTATGTGGCCAAGAAGTGCATGCACAGCCAATAAATAGAAAAATAAAAGATATTATACTTTTTTCAAACTATGCAGTATTCATAAAACAGTAGTAGCACAACTCTAAGTTCTACATTTGAGTTTTCATTCAATCTAGCTTTGCTGAACTTTTAAAAAATGCATACATAACCTGTAGGTTTTCAAAACAAAACACTGGCATTGTTGGCTTTTTTTTGTTTTGAAAAAACTGTGGTCCCAAATTAGCCCTTTTGCATTTTTAACAGCTACAGGTCAACATCTCCAGTACAGAAAATCAGCTTTTTGCAAGCATCAAATCCCCTTTAAATTTGTAAATGGTACAAAGGTTTTGCAGAGGCTTTTGAAACTGCAATGAGCTTTCTCTGAAGGTACAGAACAATGTGGTATATATTCAAAGGAGAAATTAAATGCTTTGGAAAAAACCCCAAAAGATCTAAAAAACTGCTTATGCCAATATACCATAAAAAACCTGAAAGCTAAAACTGCATGGCATGTTTGGACAGGATCATTGACTTGCTAAAGCCTGTGTTTCTTTTGAAAGCAGGCATGGCCCATCAGAAGGTCAGCAAGCTATAGTCCTTTCTCAGTGTTAAAGGCTTCCCCCCATCCCCAGAGACACTGAACATTCATGAAGCCCAAAGATTTCAGTGGGCTCAGGCTTTATGAAAAAGCATCAGCTTTTACAGGGGCAAGTGGATCAGAAGTGGATCCCAGGTCCTGGGAAAAGCAAGCGACATCAAAAGATACTCCGATATCTTGTTTAAAAAACATGTCCTTACAGTGAAGTCTATGTCTGCCTTGCTACAACTAAATTCTGATCCCACTTGGTCTATCGGGCTTTGGTCACAGATTTCAAAGGAGGCCGGGATCTTTCCTTTAGGGGCACGTGCTGAGATTTTCAAAGACAGATACTCAGCTCCCCTTCATCCAGTCAATACGTACAGCGAGAAAAAAACACCAGCATTACGTTTGCTATCTTTTTTTCCTTAAGCAGCTTTCATTGAGTACCTGACTGACTGGAAACATTGCTGTATTATTCCTAAGGCTCATTTCTAGCTTACTCCTCGAATAGTGTTTAGCACAGGCAGGCCCCCATTTCTCAACAGGGACTGTATCTGCTGACAAAGCCCAGGTATCAGGACACTGAATTACAGACTGAGAGTCCTATGGGAGTAGACAGCATCTGTTCAGTAAACTATGTATTTGGGTACAGTAGCACAAGGGATAACAACTGTGGTGCAGTAGCATTGACTGTTGGGTTTTGTTTGTTTTCCTCTGGCAGAAAATGCATTTTGAAAAGATCTTGTTCTTCTTTCAGTCCCTCTGAGAGTGTGCATCCTTCTTCACAAGGGTGTTACGACAATTTTAGGACTCTCCTTTGAATTCCTAATGCCAGTGGTTTGTTGCCCATTTCTGAAACTGAAAGCAAGTAAAAGACTGAGCAGCTAGAGAACATTTTACAGGGTGTCATCAGACACTTTGCCCTCCCAATTAGCACTGCTAAAATAACCATGTTACACTACTAATACAAACATTAGAAAAAAAACCAAGTGCGATGTAAAATATGCCTTTCCGGATGGCAGAAGCAGTGCAGCAAACAACACATGGAACTTGAACATAATTCAGTTACTTTAGTCTGTTTATGCAAGAAGCCTGCAAAGGGAATCTGGTTTGACTCTGGGATTTCCAGCTACAGTTCATCAACTCCAAAGCCAAAAAGCCATAGGTCAGACATATGAGAAGTCCGTTATTGTGATAAACAGCAGCATGCCCCTCTCAAGGAACCTGGCCCAAGAATTCTTCTTATTCTGGAAGCATAATGACAGCTCCTTATACTGACCAGGGATTAGATACAGGCAATTCCAGCTTTTTCAAGCTATTATTGCTTATAAGGGCAAATTCTGTTCCAGTACAAGTTCTCAGTAAGCTGGATGGTAGCTATGCAGCTGCACTTTGGCTAATTCCGTTTCCCTCCGCTGCTCCCAAGAATTTTCCTCCCATGATCCTACTCGCAAATACTGGCCATTTCCACTGCGCCAGCACTGTAATGTACGCGCACGGATTTCAGTGGAGATGTTTGCTCAGGGTGCCTTAAATAGCAATGGTGGTGGGGCAAGAGAACTGTCGTTGCTTACAGCTAAACAAAATAAACCAGGAGAAAAGCTGTCCTGGCATGTCTCTAGCCTCCCAAATTAAAGAGGCTAGAATATTGAAATCCTGTGTTCAATTTGGAGCAGTACTTAATGAACTTACACTGAAAGAGTAAAGTGTTTTGTAATGTAAATCTTCCCACTAAATGAGTAGTTTAAATGAAGAGTTAAGAAGAGTGAATGATATATAAGAGGATGGAAAGTGTTGGGAGATATGAAGCAACAGCCTCAAAGTGATGTGAAGGTCAGCTTTGATTTGTGAGTCCCCACTTTCAAGCACATCAGCTCTCAGGTTCAGAGATTCTGGAGAAACTGCATAATGTCAATGTCAAATTAACAACCAAAAAAAAAAAAATCTAAAGGGCACTTTGAAAGCTTTGATATTTTGCAGTGGATCTGATGAAACATGTTTACTGATTGTGAAAAGGGACTATGTAGAAAGAGGTCCTGAATTCTTGTGAAGCATGGGATGAATGAAAGCCGCCTTACCATTTCACCTTCAGCATTTGCTCAAAGCTCTCAGGCAGGGGATTGCCGTAGCTCTCTGGGAGAAACAGGGTAAGGATCCCGATCAACACAGTCAGGCTTCCCATCAGGATATATGGTAGGAATCTGTCGTAGGCACCTGACAGAACACAGGACATTACACCAGTACTTATATGTCCACAATCAATGAACTTGTGTAAAATTTATTGCTGTTACGCAGAATTAATTTGGAATAATTAGCTGAAATCTTCATAAATACCAAAGGTGAATCCAAAACTGAGCTACATCTGGTACCTGCTAGCAAACAAAGCGTTTTTTCAATTTTAAAATGACAACATACGCCCTAGGATGGTCATCACCTACCATCAGTTTCATGCCATCCCCCATGTTTGTGTAGTGGTTAATAGGTTTTTTGTACATTTTCAACTGGGATGGCCAACATCTTTGCAAGGTACAGCTCTGCTGGGATCACTGCTGGAGTCTTCAGTACTACACTGTAATCTGGAACCAAATCCTCAGTTAAATAATTCAATGTGAGGGAATAAAAATGCTCATAAGCAACGAAGCACTCGTCAGCTGCCTGGGATTGTGCATCCTGCTGATCTCGTGCAAAAGACGGGAAGAGACTGATGGCAGCTGAACAGGCTACTTTCAGACTAATGGGCCATTCACAATGGAATCCTTCAATACCTTCCTGATTGCAAAAGGAGAAAGCATCAAGCCTCCCATGACAGGTAAGAGGCTCTGACCTTGGTCTACTCAGAATATTATTTTGGACTAGAAGGCAGCGGCACCTGCCACCAGCCTGAAGCTAGTGCACAAGTGTTTGGGCAGGATGCAAGATCTTCAAGTCACAATAGCACAGCAATGAAAAGGTCTTTCAGTAAAGGGATTAGCTAGGAATTAAAGTATTTAAGGTAGAGATAGTACTAAACTGGACTTGACAGCTTTATTTTTCAGTTGGGATAGAGCAATATGCTTTATAACGTATGGAATAAACTAGGATTAAAGTGAAGACCCTGGGTATTTCACATAGAGCCAAAGTTTGTGATTTGATCTCTTCTGTGTTCATGAGCTGGATGAACTGCAAGGTCCTAATTTAGCTGTAGCAACTATCAGCAGCTGATGAATTTCTCCTAAAACCTCCTAAAGTTTAGGAAACTATTCTGATGGCTGGAACAAGATTTTTTAAAGGCTGAGCTTATGGAAACCTGGGAGGAAAAAAAACCCAACAGAAAAACTTTATCCTGTCTACATTTCTCTATTACTGTTACCTGTGCTGCAACGGAGACTGAAGACCTTAAGGAGCATCACAGTCATGCTGTCCCTTTTACTTTACATTTGGGCTGTACAAGTATGAAATAAAGACATTTTCATCATTTTTGGTACAGTGTATTACAGTCACACTGGAATGTAGAGGTGAGACAACACAGGTGAGCTACAGATAGTAGTCTCCTCTCCTCTTTCCTGGCATGGTGAACCAGCATTAACCCCTTAGCAGTACACCAGCAATGCTCTGCCAGAGTCAGCAGTCACACTCATTTTGTATCAAAGGTCTCAACAGAAAGCAAAACTCGTTAGGTGCAGGGGAAAGCTGCATCGGGTCCAGTGATGGCAGATGGAAATAAATCATGCGCGAGTGAAAGAAACAGGAGATTGAGCACTGGACTGAGCAGCTGGTATTCACAGATACTTCCACCCTTAATCCTCTAATCTCTGTCACCCTTTACTACCTGCAACACGAGGATCATTTCTGTGTACTTTAAAAAAAAAAAAAAAAAAAAAGATTTATCAATTAATATTTGTGCAGCACTCAGAATGTGATGGTAGTGAGTGTCAAAAAAAAGCCTATGAGGCAATCGGCAATTCTCCTTACAGACCAAGGCACGAACAATAAGAAAAAGCAAAATGAGTGCCAAGGTGCTTGGCTTAATAACTAAAAAAAAATCAGTTCACGAAGGTTACAATTAAACACACTCTTGTGCTGCTTAATCTGCATGTTTTTCATGTATTGCTTTAGAGAGCACAGATTCAGGGGATGTTTAGATTCCTGCCTGGTTCATCTGCTCCTGATATACCCATCTCGGGAAGCGCATGAAGAGTACGATGCAATGAACTTCCTGCTGGCGCTTACTTGCTAGATTGCTTCTTGTCACGCTCGCCTGGGAAACTAACTGATGTCCCAGGGGTAATGCCCATTGCCAAGATGTAACCAATTATCATCCCAGCCACTCCGCTTGCACAGTTTATAAACACCGTCGTTGTCTTGGACCAGCTCGGACCCACTCTGGTGCTGTATGAACAGTCCCTCGCCTCAATAAAGGAAAAAAGTGCCTGATTCTTTTGTGAAACCCAAGGAGCTCTGCTTCATTTCTACAGCGTTAGACAGTGAACTCAGATCCAAGATGAGGGAAGGGACTTAAAAAACAACAAATGAAGGGACTTAAAGCTGAGCCTGCACTGCAGAAGCTCCGATAACTTTTCTGGGCAGTTGTGTAGTGCAAGGCAACAAATACGCAAGATGTCTCACCCAGGTAAACAAAGTAAGGAGCAATGATGCTGCCCAGCCTGGAAGCCATGGAAGTAGCTCCGACTGCCATGTTTCGCACTAGCGTTGGGTATAGCTCCACGTTGTAGACATAAAGCATTGAAAACGCAGCTGTGACACCAAATTTTCCAAGCATCACCAGGACAACAGACAGGACATTAAAATCTGGAGGAGAAAAAATAAAATCAAGGTGAATAAACAACACCCTGTGCTTATTCCTTGTATTTCTCCTACATCCCAAAGATCATGTAACTGTTTTTTTCCTAGCGGTTGTGAGTTTGGTTTTTTTTTTTAATTATACAATGTATTAGCCCCATCCCTAGATGACTTGGCTCCAGACTTCCCACTGAGCATAATGTAGATGCTCAGGTTATTTTGTACTTCTCAGATTTTGGTCCTCTCCCAGTAAAACAGCATTCTTGAAATGGAACAAAATTCTGGATTATACAACAACAAAGCACAAGCTTAAATCCACCCCTTTTTCACAAAAACCTGTGGAGATTTACACACAGTGAAATCTGGAAGACTCACAGGTTTTTTTAGCCTCTATGCTCAACCAGATAAATCACAGTACACTTTTGGCTCTCATTTTACAAGCTGGTTCCCCTGGACTATAAAAAGCTCAGTAATTTGACACAATAAATGAGAGCTGTGCATGACTCAGCATATACATATGCATATAAAAAAAGCCCCACGGCTGGAGGTGATCAGCATAAACTTGACCTCAAATTCTAAATTTGATTGTGGTTTCCAGCAATTTTACACAACTATTAGAAAGTATATAAAATATTAGAAATATTTTATGGTACTAAAGTCATGTATTGAATCTTGTACCTGCAGGAACCAGCTGAATGAAGAGGACAACACCTCCCCCTAAAAACAAGGTGCCAGATAAGGAGTAGCGCCGAGGGAGGGAGCGGAGGAGAAGCCAGGCAATCACGTAAGCTGGAACTTCAATAATAGCCGAGAGGAAACAGTTGACGTAGGCATTTCCATGCCAGCTTGGAGTGCTGAGGGACAGGCCAAAGTAACCAACTGATGTGAAAAACCTGAGAAAAGCAATAAAACCAAATGATTCCAGGTGGTCTCTGAATGCCTCCACTGTTGCCTCAGATGTTGTTACAAAAATAGGATGTCACAACGCATTGCCACAGATATCGTGGCTTAAAAAAAAATCTCAGTGGCAACCCCATCTTTCTAATTCTGTCATCCCTTCCAGTGATCATATCCACAGCGGCTTGAAGAGACCTCTGACTTCTCTGTCCTTCCTGCATACACTATACCAAGTAAAAGGCTTTGTGGAAGTCGTTCACAAAGGCTTTTCACTGCAATGGACTCATTAACGGCACAATGAAATAACTCTTGAAAGCTTCCCATGCCAACTACGTTCCTACTTGTAGCCAACTCCAGTGACAAGGATCTCCCACCCTCAGCAGTTCCATTACATCTTATTTAATCTTCACGAGAGAGCTGGATGTTCGGGTTTCAAATCTCAAGAATGCCTCGCTATGGCATGCCAAGTCTGCTAGCCAGTTCCTTTCTGCTGGGGGAAATAAATACAGAAAAGGGTCCCAGTTTGTCTATATGGTATTATTGGGTCTCCTTCCTCGCGGCTGCCCAGGCAGGGACCAGGATCTTACTGAGATGGGCACTGCACAGAAACAGGACAAAAACGCTGGCCATGGGTCTGGTTCTTGTTATGTTACTGAGTTGCTGCCCCTGCTTCAAGACGAACATTTCTCTTCAAATAGAGATTAGAGAGATGGGAGCTTCTTAAAAAAAAAAAAAAAACCAAACAAAAGCAACAGAATTTAAAATACACAAGTTGTTACATATAGTTTCCTAACTATTTTACATTTGTGTTGAGGCTACTGTCTCCATACTCTTGTGTATTAATGCAGTGCGGGTGCAAGGACATCGAAGGCCGTGTACTGGCCAAGGACCGTGTGTAGATGGGCTCCGAGGCTGAAACTTATTATCTAAACGTGTGGCATGTGCCCTCAAATCAGAAATTGTTCTATTGCCTGGGTACTTTAGGAATACACATTTCCTTACCACAAAAGTAATGACATAATAGTAATAGTTGCAATGTTTCGGTTTCGAAATAGGTCCAGAAGGATAGCCTTCTGCTGCTGCTGAGGCTTCGAATCCTGCATCTGAAGGAAAAAGGAAAACAAAACCAAAAAAATTCCCACACACCTAAGAGCAAAACAACCTCTGCATACCCACAAGTTTGGGCAGTTATGAAGTTACGACCTATCAGGGGATAACTAGCCAGCCCAAGGGCCACTTCTGCACCAAGGAGGGTGGTCCTTAGGTAGAGCTTGTCTCTGCACTCAGCTGTACTCCGCGGTAGTGTCCAGTTTTTTGTTAAAAAAAAGGTGGCACCGCAGCATGCTGACTAATTAAAAAGGAGTATCAGCTGACAAGAAAGACACATTAACACTTCCTTAAGGATCTAACACAGTACTTCCAGGAGTAACCACATTACCAAAGGCATTTTTCTGTGCACTGTCCACTCAAGTCTCTTCTGTTCAACCTTCATAAACGGTGTGAAATAAAAGCGAAGATTGCCCTGTTCTGCTGCCTATTTGCTGGCGTCCTGCTGGGGAGGGGGACAGATGCCAGAGCTCGGCGTGGTGGCCAGGGCGCATCATGGGAGCATCCACCACCCCAGATCGGAGACAGAGGGTCCAGTTTGAGGCTTGAAGCAGGAATCTTCTGAATGGCGTGAGGGTGCATGGAGAACCTCGCCCTGGTGAAGCCAGTACTCGCAGCCAGGCTCCCCCTCAAGCCCAAAGAGTGAACTGCCCTGGCCCTCCCTGTGGGGCTACCCAGGAGATTTCCCTTCCTAGGAAGAGAGGATGGTTTCTGAGGAATGTCTTTCTAGCATTCCAAGGAATGTCTTCCCGCTTCAATCGAGGACTTAATGTGCAAACATCATTCTCAGGCTTTTGTGGACAGACACTTCGGCACGCGAGATTCCCTTGAAGTAAAGGACAACTGAGCTGCTGCTTGGTCTCAAAAATATGCAGGAGTGATGAAAACCCATGTACTGGAGCTGAAAAAGTCATGTCCAGTATGGAAGACGTCTGAACTCTGGCTGTGAAGTAAGGAAAGTGCTTTTCCATGGTTTCTGTAGGATGACCTTCCCATAGCTGCAACATGCACTTGAATTTACACTAGAACATACACTTGGAAAAGAGATCTTCAGCAGCCCAACCAAAATTTAAGCATGACATTCAAGAGATGGATCCTGCCCACAGGAGGTGTAGTATGCACCATCTCTCTCCTGCAGACACTGCAAAGGAGCACGTGGTGCTTTGCTTTCTGTTCTATCAGGAGACATCAGGAGACGTAAAACACAGGTGCTAGTATAATGCAGTAAGGTAAGATCTGGCATACAGACACGTGGTTATTGCTGACGCAAGGCTGGAAGCGTTGCTGGCTTCTTTGCACAAGAAAAATGTCTGTGCCTCTTCAGCCGGAGCTCCGGAGAGCGCAGAGCCACTAGAGGGGGAGATGAGCACAAGAACCAGCCATCCCGCTGCAGCCATGCTGCTCCCCAGCTTGCTAGGCTTTCTCCTTTTAATGAATAAATATGAAATACAAGAGAAAAACAGGCCCGAAGAAGAGCTTAGTGTTCTTCACTGCCTTCACTACAGTCACGCTTTTCAAGTGCCCTTGTAGCACTCGGGTGCTTTGGCTGGTTTGTGCAACCTGAGGAGGCCCTCGGGGCTCCACGCAGCCCCGGCACACATGGGTGCTGATTTAGGGTCCCCTGCGCAGCCCCCCGCGAAGGGCTGCTGTTAAACTGCACATCGCTAATACTGCACCAAGTTGAAACGGGGACAAACACGTCTTCCTCGGGTCTTCTCAGTGCCCAAAGGATGAAGCAATCTGGGTCACCCTTGCTCTGAAAACCACAACCAACCACTGCTGAGGAAGAGAATTTTACTGTAAAAACCAAACAAATAAAAACCCCCTCTGGCTTCTCATTTTGAACTCGCTAACCCAGCACTTACCTCACACCAACAGTCACTGCCAGCCTTTTAAGAGCTGCTGGTGCAAACCACATCTCTGCTGGCATTTCCCAACAAGTCAACTGGCCAAAGGGGGAAACTGCCGGCACGGTAAAGTACCAGGACGTATGAAACATACCTCTGCGGTGTCGAAAAGCACGTCTGGGGCTGGAACACCATTTATTTTTGCAGCCTTTCGGATAATAACTTCTGCCTCCTTATATCTTCCCTGGGAGATCAGCCACCGAGGGGATTCAGGAATGATCCTGCAATAAGTTTCAGAATAAATGACTCAACGTTTTCACAAAAGTAAAAAGTTATTAAGAACACATGTATCATTTTTATGAGCTACGCTCTCATCTCACAGATTGCTTGCAGCAGAAGACAGTCAGCACAGAAGCATGTGGGCAATGTAATTCATGGATTTGTCCCACTGGGATCAGTGGGAGAATTCAAATACATGGGACGTGTTTATTCTTGTGCTGAAGTAGATGCACGCTTGGGACCTTGTCCTGGGTGGTTATTTTTTAAGGAATAATTGATGTCCACCAGAAGAAAACAGATGTCACCAGATAGACAGCAAAGACGGGGGTAGCTTAACCAGCGTTGAGCAAAAATATTCTTAGGAAACTGCACACAATGTGGAAATGCTTTAAATATGCACAGGGTATATTTAAAGCCTCTGTGTCATAGGAATCTTATATACAAACCTCACAATTTTACCACAACTCTGAGGCGGGCTCTCCCAGGCAGAGGAGAGTGGCAGTGTCCCCTTGCAGAGTTGATGACATTTTCTAATCAATTCCAGGCACATGTTGAGTGAATTAACACCAAACGCAGGACAGAAAATCTCACCCTTCCTTAACTAAATCCTTTGATCTTAACAGATGCTACCTTCCTCCCTTTAGCCAGCAGTATTTTTTCCTCTCCTTGAAAAAAGCAGGTCAGACATTCCTTTTCTGATGAACTCCCTAAAGGACTGACCCAAAGCAATGTCAACGGATTCGAGCGTCAGATGATTTCTATCAGATCGTTCAACCAGTAATGTGACTTTCTGTGAGGTGAGCTGTCTCCACTGCTTTTCTTCGTGGGCAAGCTGAGGAACACAAGACTGCAGAGACGATGCTGCGAACCTTCTGGAGAATTTGGAAGAGGAATGAATAAAAGAGCAACTATGGCACGGAGCAGTGGGATGTGCAAGTCACATCACCTGCAGAAGCAGTGGGTCCAGATGCCCAAATGCCAGCTAATACCAATCTGCCCTGGCAGAGCTTTGCCAGTGCACCTTGCTCCCCATCTACCACCACATTAGCCCCAGACTGGAAGTGCCATCTGTGGAAATTTTTGGCTTGCTTTACGATGTATGCTCTTGAAAAGCATGGAAATTCCCACCAAATAAATTTCAAAGCAGGACTCCGAAGTCATGCCTTGGGGACAAATTTCAAATGCCTCATAGTGCCTGTTCCATAGCAGACATCTGAGAGGCTTCCACGCAAAACCAACCTCCCCAAAGAGCAGCTGCTTGGTGCAGAGGGAAATGCTGCTGTGTTGAAGGAGTTTGAAACTTTTCAAGTTAAATAAGCAAATTGACCCTTAAACAGAGTCAGATTATCTTTAAAATCACATGATAGCAGAGGTGGAGCTGAAAACCATTTTGAAGGTTTGGTTTGGTTTGAAGACTAACATAAAAAAACCCCCAAACCCTAAAAAACCCCAAACCAAAACCATCAGCAGAGACTTCTGACAAGAGTGAGATCTGCAGGAGGTCTTTTAGACAATAGAAGAGTGGGTCTAAATCACTTAACTATTATAAAGACACTAGTCTCTTACTTATAGGTATAACTCTGTCAAGATAATAGGAAGAAAGGAGTTCCCCAGATAAGACTAATATGAAAGCAAGGAACTCTTTTTGTTGTATAAGAGTGTGAGTGATACCTTGCCTTTCCCTTCCTATTTTCTAAACACCTATCTCTTCAGAAAACAACCGATGACCAAGGCAGCAACAGAACAAGGATATCTGCCCTTCTTCAATGCTTCTGTCCAGCTGAGAAGAGCAGGGAGTTTTCCTAAGTTGTTTTTTCAGTCCCCCAGGGCACAGCAACCATGAGCAAGTGAGGGTGCACCTACATGTCCACCAGTGCATTAAAGCAGGGGTGGGTGAGTGCAATGGGAAGGTAAAAGAAAACATGGACGTGGGCACCAAGAAGACAGCATGGGATGACTCAGAGGAGCAAGGTAAGGAAGAGCCAACCTTTGGCTTAGCCAGACAAAGTTACTATGGGCTGAAGGAGCTCACAAATCAAAACCCTGTTCCAGCAGCCAAAGCAAAGCCTGGGAGGACACACGGCTCCTGGCACACAGAACCTGTGGGAGAGGGCTGGCCCGGTGAGCTCTGCCAGGAAACGCCTCTGCTTAACGGCATCTAGTGCAATGAACTGCTTAATGACACTGAGTGCAATAAAGTGCCAGCTGCTGCATGCCGAGTGAACAGGCTCAGCCTTTCACTGAGATTTTAGTAGAATCAGCAGGTGAATCCGCATTTACAAACCGCTTAAAGAAAAAAGCAAGGAAGAAAAGTTAGAATGAATCACCCAGTGGTACTATGGGGGTAAACCTAGAGGTGGTTAACAGTTTCCAGAGTTAAGAATCAAATACAGAATTCCCAAGCTGCTCTGGAAGGCTGGTGAAAAAGTGGCTTCAAGCACAGGGCCAGCACCAGCGAGGCTCTGCAGGTAGTTAACTTGACTTAAAACTGGCAAAAAAACCCCAAACAAAAAATTCCCCCCAACTCCTGCCTCAAGGCAAAGCCTCCTCACATGGCAAATAGAAAAAAAAAACCGAAGAGGAGAAATGAGACCACCCGACACCCCTGCCATTACCCAGCACCCGGCGCGGAAGAGCATCAGGCGGGGAGGGGAGGTGGGGAGCGTGGCCTCGCGGCGCGGGGGCACTCACCACCAGAGCGGGATGCAGAACAGCCCCGGGACAGTGAGCGCCAGCAGCAGCATCCGCCAGTCTCTGATGAAGTAAGCAAACAGTGGCAGCAGCATGTAGCCAATTGCAAAAAATATGCAAACTCCTAATGTAGAGAATATAATACGAACTGATTTGCCAAGAATTTCTGTTCCTGTTTAAAACAAGGGAGGTTGGATTAGCATTTTAACTCTTTCTTTTCAATCTTGACTAAATACTTTACTGCATTTACAAAAAAATAAGCTAAACAATCTTAGAAAAGAGCAGTTTCTCTTATAATACTTAAAGGCACACTGCCATGGAGTAATGGTCCAAGAGATGATCATCATCACAGTGATACTAATCTGGTGGGAGATTCCTCCAGATTTTTGTTGTGCATCTCCCGTGGAGCTGCCATTGAAGCACCCATGAGACCACCACCATTGGGCTCTTCCAGTGCCCTAGCAGGCCAGCAGAGTCTGATACAGAACCATTTTGTAACATAGTTGTAACGGCAACATCTGCACAGTTTCTATGTTATTACCATCAGTATTTGTTCACAGATCTAGCAGAGGATTCACAGACCCAGCGAGTTCTCCTCTATTGCAAAGGTTGGCAAAGCAAAAGAGAAACAAGTGACAGTGTCCCTTGAACAAAGTCTTCTTGTTCACATCTGCCGGGAGTTTAAATGAGCGGGGAACAGAAAATGAAGGCTATCACGTAGAAGGGCACAATGAAACATGAACCCTCTGTGGTTTGCTCCAAGGACACCAGGATGAATGAATCCCAGTACCGGCTGATGGAGCGCCCAGTCCGGCTCCCACCCGCGGTCAGAGGCGGATGCGCGTGTAAAGGCATGAAGCCGCTGCGGTACCAGCAGTACCACGGGGATGGGACCGAGCCTGCTGGTCAGCTACTGTGTACTTGCAAACAGGCTGAGCTTGGAGTGGAAGAGTTTATGTCACGTTTTTTGTCCTCTGTGTCAGCCTAGGAACATGCACCCGGACAGTTAAAGCAGCTCAGCTGATGGGCAGTAACTTGAATGTATGTTTAAAGCCCAAATGTTGCTTGGCACTGCAGTACTTCCCCGCAGCAGTGCATCCCATAGGTTCCAGCTGCATTAAACAGCTTACAATGTCCTCTCCTCATGTGAAGGACTGAGCAGAGATGATTTCAGTTATCCTCATTAGCTTCATTTCCAAAATACTGAGCTCCATGACTGTACACTAACGCCAGACAAACTATTGGGTGAACTGAAAGAGTTGTGAGGAACTGAAGGAGCTTCCCTCCTCCCTGGTCCTTTTCCCTGCCTGGCAAATCTGCTTTTGTCCTCCCCAGTGGTTTGTGGCATGGCAGAGAAGACCTGGGCTGCTGTGCTGCCCCGCAATGCTGGCACCAGCGATAGCAGAGGTCACCTGCAGCACAGCACGGACCCACCCAGTACAGAAAAGCTGCTGGGATTATCGGGGACCTTCAGATGAAGGAGTGACTTCTGTTTGCTTTGATTAATGCATTGTCTGAGACAGATAAGGGCAGGCATGGGGAATGGCCAGCAGACTTTAAGAAGCCTTCTCAACATGCTTGGCTAGGACATAGCCTGCTCCCCCACTTAACCCACAGGGATTTAAGGTGCAATTCATTGCTGAGCACTTCTGGAGGACAGCACGTCTGTGGATGACAGACTGACACGGGTGCTTCGGGATGAAAGGATGGGAATGTACAGTGAGGTGGGAACAAATTTCACGTTTACTTTTTGGAACAGAAGGCTGGAATGTTGGACGGCACATCATGGGCTGTGGGACACAACCAGGGAAGATGCCATCTTCTAATAACGCTACTGCTCCAGTAGCCAGGCAGCAGTCAATGAAAGCATCCTACAACCACTGCATCACACACAGCCTAGCGGCAACCTAATATCTAGTAATAAAAATTGAGACTGTTGTAAGCCTTCAAGAGCACCTGATTTCTTTTCCAATAAAATACCTAGCCACTGATTAACAAAATCCACGGACGCCTTCAGGTCTCCCTCACTTCTCGTTGACCTCTCAGCCCTGGGTCTGCAAAGCTTTCCTCTCCATCAGGAGCACTGCGAGGGCCAGAACTCCCACAGTTTGATCTGGACTCAATTAAAAAGCAAACGACACTGAGCGAACAGGAGGGTCTCAGGAAGTCTGGAGAGTATATTTTGGTTATGTAGCGTGGTAAGAACTCCCAACATTTAATACGGCAGAGAAAATGGAAAAAATACCCAAGACTAAAAAAAAAAAATCCTATTTGATAGCTACATGAATTTTCATTTTGGAAACTTGGAGTAACTAAATAAAGTCACAGTGAGAAAGATGAAAATAAGAACTCCTAGGGATTGAAATGGTGTGTGGGGATAAATTATACCATTTTTCTCTAGTGATTGCTCTTGTTTAGAGGGCTCTCTTGGGAGAGGTCTGATACGTGAAACATTGGTTTGTATCTATTAAACATTACGTTATAATTTGTGGCAATCCAAAGCCAATACGAGATGGCATCTTTCAACTACAATTCTCTTCTCTCCTGCCTCTCCTCCCTCATTCTGCTGGCCAGGAAATAACAGTTCTGGGATGTTACCCACATGCCTTCACAAATCTACATAGTGTTTTACAGTCCCAGAACTTGAACACAACAGTTTTGAGCACTGAGAACAACTGAGGCCTAAAGCTAAGGAAAAATGCTGCAGAGAGAAATTTCACAGGACGTGGTTGAAAAAAAAAATATCTCTACAGAATTTCACCAACAGCTTGCGCGGGGAAAGTATTCTCACGGAGGTGGGCGGCAATAGTGCAAAGGGCAGGAAGAGCCTGGGCGGCTGAGGATGCTGGAACAGGGTCTGAGCTACGCACGGGGAGGCAACAGAGGTTCAGATGTTGAAAGCTGGAATGACAGGAGAAACCTGTGCTCAAGTGGCCGCCTGAAAAAAAAAAACCCCTACTTGGGGACGGAGGGTGCATGGGCTGCAGCACAGCCAGCGTCAACGGGGACTTTAGATGTGCTGGTGTCACTGCTCCCCCCCCGAGCGCAGGTCACAGCCCTGACCATCATCGGACGAAGCAAGGGAAGTTTCTCCAGTGCATCCATAATCAGGACAGACTTTCTTAAGGAGTTAATTTTCTTTTCGTGGGTATATTCTCCTATCCAGCACCTCTGTCGTGTGCGGCTTCCTGGAAGCTCCTGGGTTTGCCTTGCCACGGGCAGAGGTTGGGGCACTCGTCGGGGCACGCTGACCACGCGGCTACGCAGTGTAGGGTGGGAAGGGCCATACTCCATTAGTGCCTCCCTCCTTACCGATGATGACGGCTGATGACTCACTTAAATTAGGAAGCTAATGTCTAAGTTATTTTAGATTAATCCTGCCTTAAGGCTGCCGGGGGAATGGCCAGCACAAGTGCCCGAGGCTGCTGCAACAACTCTACAGAAAACAGGATGGCAGAAGAGACAACACAAGGGGTAGAGTGCCCTCAAACTGCAGCCGTGCAATTAAACAAACCTAACATTGCTTTGGGAGACCCAGTCCTATCTCTCAGCAGTGGGGACATTTGGCCAGTGGGGTGCTCTGGACCCCCCGCAGCTTTGCCTCTGCCCAGTGCTGAGGCAGCATCCCGATCTGCATCCAGCACTGCCCCACGTTCCTAGGGAGAGCTGCGGAGCTAAATTCCTGCCTGATCAGATCCCACACCCCCATTAGAGGGACTCATGCTACACAAATCCCATGTGCTTCCAAGAGGATTTTCAGCCAAGCCAGCGCTCCTGACCCAGCACCATACCTCCCAGCCTTCCCATGACGAATGTTCGTTCTGGCTCCATCAACTCCGCACAAGAGTTAACTACCAGGACGGAGGGAGCAGTGGCGACGGCAATGGCAAGGGATCTCCCCACTGACAGCCTGACCTACCTAATCCTCCCTCTGCCACTCACAGCGGTGACTCACAGCTGCCCAGGGACACGATGCCATATCCCCTCCATAGCACTGATTTCATATCATGCTCTTCTGCTCTATTTTTTCCCCATTAAAGCCTCAGGGGGTAGGAAAGAACAGCATTAACTACTAGTATACGGTTTTAATTTAGACTAGTTCACGTTACAATCTACAAATTGTAATTTTGACACCATTGGTTTAAAAGCTGACATAAAGATATACATGCATATTTTAAAGACAGCTCTTGCAAATCCCAGCTCCTCCACAAGGCCTGCATCAGTCATCCCAGTAATTCACCTGAGCAGTTGCCTTTCCTGAAAACCCCGTGACTAGCAAGAGACTCTGTGGGGTCCCCTTCCCCTTGGGGTCCCCCCTTCCCTGCAGGGACCCCGGGCAGCGACTGCAGCTGTGCAGCCTCCCCGCAGCCACTGGATCTTTCTTCCTACACTCCCCGTAAAAACCAAAACAAACCTTGGCCTCTAAAATTAGGGACTTTATCACTAACCTCAGCACCAAGACTGGTGACTTTATGGCTAATGGGGCTTTGACACCCACCCGACTCCTCCGCTTGGTGCCCCCACGTGTTCGCTGTGCCTGGAAATGCTGGTTTGCTCCAAAGTTTTGCACCCAGGTACACACTGACTCCTCTGCAAAGGGGCGGAGAGGCAGGGAGGAACCCGAATGCCTTCTCTGTCTCAGACCTGCTTCTTTTGATAACAAAACCTGAACGCTTCCTGGAACGTCTTCTCCAAAGAGGAGGGAAATGGAAGTTTATTTAGAGGTTTCCTGCTCTCATCTTTTTCTCTAAACCTGTAGAAAGTGTAGGCTTGAAGTATCCAAGAGCAAAAAAAATCATACTGGCCTAAATTAGGAATTGTACCAGTGAGGATTTACCAATGTCTAATTAAATGATGCAAGGTCAGAGGTAAAAAAAATAACAGTACATTAAGCAAGCATTTAATCTAATGCAGACATATTCATACCCAGTATGAAGGCCACCACGTAGTTAGAGATCTGTCCCATCCCCACTATGAGAAAGAGCACTGTGAACATCTCCCAGCTTGTGGAGAAGATCTGCAGGAAGCTGAAGCCAGTCTGCACGGCCATCGTCGAGAAAAGGATATTCTTCCTGCCAAACCTTTTGCAAAAGATAAAGATTATTACTGAAACAGCATTTATTTATGGAGCAGGGCTATGTAAGAGAGCATGAGGGAGCACAAATATCCAACCTCAAGAGATGCAGCTTAGAACAACCTGAAGTTTCATTCATTTTAAAGAATTTTGTTTATCATTTTCATAAGCACTAAAAAAAACCAAGTAAAATTTCCAAGACCCAGGAAATAAACCAAGAAGAAAAATTAAGAGCAGAAACTTCAGGGAGCCACTAGACAGGGACTAAAGAAATTAGACAACAGTACATAAGTGAGAGACACCAGAAGATTGCAAGCCACGTAGCCGAAAGTTAGGAAATGATGGCGTTTAGGCTACTGGCATCTATACATTGCAACACCATTACACTTTGAATCTGTTAAATAGCTTTATCAACTGGTTTCAATCTCTCTGAGTTGCCATACATATTGCGCCCTTTCTCTCACCCACTTGTCTGCATTCGAAGCACGTAGCATTTTCTTACGAAAAAGTAAGAGCAAGCTTACGTACGGGTTTGCACACCCGCGCGCTGGCCCAGGGCACGCTGCCCTTTGCACGGGCCGCATTGCCGGTTGCCTGCGGCAGCCCTTGACTTAGGAAAGGTTTCTGCAGCAGCACAGGGGAAACGGCTCAGGTACAGGCTCAGAATATACCCCTTTACTGACAAACCATTAAAAACAAAATTCAACAAATAGCTCATGTTAGAAGGCGACCGGGCTGTCGGGCAGGCTGACCGGCCGCGCTGCCGCCGGGGCACCCACGCTTTCTCAAATGCTCCCAGTGGGCACAAGGCACCAGCAGGATTTAGTGATTATCTCGTCTCCCTTTCAAACAGTAACACTGACTGACTTATGCACTGGGGGCAGGAGTCGGGAGATTAAATTCGAATCACATGGAATTTAATGCTGGCAGCTTTAGGATTAAGACTCCCACGGAGTTTTGAAACCCCTCTGCTAAACACCCAGAGGAGCGCTGAAACTCTTATGAATTCCTCATTAACAGGCAGCAATCAAAGCAGTATTTGAGACCCTGCCATAATGATATGGAAGAAAAGGCTAAGGGATGTATAAAGAGGGAAGCAGAGACTCACAGAAGGAACATACATTGTGCATTTGACGCTTGTAAGGCCAGAACTTCAATACTGCTGAGATAATTGTCAAGTGCCTGTAGCGTTTTCTTGATATTTTGCATCTACTTAGTTAGATGGTATGACATGATTGCTATCCATTTACAGATTATCTTTTTTTCTTCCTCTTGGATATGCTTACTTTATTTCCAGCAAATCATCTCTCCTATGCAGAGCTCCCATTCAAAGAACAAGTTTCTATCCTGCAACTCTAAGAATGGACTGTCAGTTAATGTGTGACAAAGAACATCATCTTTTAAATTACTAAAAAGGCCAGATAAAGAAACAAATGTGGTCAAGAACTGAAAACCACCACACCAGTCTGCAAAGCAGCCACATGGGCTCCTTGCAGAGATCAGCTCTTGGTCTCCTAAAGCGCCCAAGAGGCAGTAATCCTACGCCTGGGGTAGATCAAGATTGGGATTTTTGAAGAAGCCAGGCCAGTTACCTAATTTTGATCAAAACTCAGAGAACTGGTCATTTAACTCCCTTACGCCTGTTAAGAACGAACGCACCAGCCGTGGCACCGGGTCTGCCCTGCTCTGCCCACGGGCGGAGCGGGAGCAGCGGCGTTACCTGTCTGAGAGCTGCCCTGAGATGAAGGAGCCGATGAGGACCCCCACGAAGAAGAGGGAGGTGGTCAGCGGGGCTTTCCAGTCGTCCTCGCACACCAGGTTCCACTGCAAAAGAAGGGCTCGCGCTCAGACGCAGCCGCAACGCCGCATTGAGCCTCATGCAGGCACAGGGGTTATTGGCTGGAGACACACACATTTCCATGTAATTTAATGTAGTTTCCCCACACCTGCATTTCCACCCATCGCTGGCACCAGCAATGTTTTTACAGCGAAGGTCGCTGCCGGCACGCCCTGCTTAAAGCACAAAAAAACCAAAGGGAAAGCGGTTGCCTCCCCAGGCAAGCCCCATCAGGCCGAAACACCAGCAGCTGTCTGACGGGACCCCATCACCTCTGAAGTGGGTGAGTGGCCAGCAATGCCAAACCCGATGGGCAGTCGGTGTGTGCAGCCTGGGGGCTGCCTTGGCCCCGTTTCCAGCATAATCTCCCCACCACGCGCCCATCAGGCCCCCCGACACCCAGGACCTGGCTGCCCATGCCTGAGATGCTCCCCACCAGAAAAGCAGAGCGACAGAGGCGGGTGGGAGACTGCCCCACCCCTGGCTAGGGATGGTTTCCTGTTTACCTGACCTCTGCCAACACAAAAACTGCTGCATTTCTCTAATTTCTGGGTTCAACAAGACATATACAAGAAGACGCACAGAATAAAATCTCTTTTCCCACGCTGACGTGTTTCTGAATTCCCTTCCATCCCCACAGCCTGCAGGGCTGACTCACTGCCCATCACTCAGCCTCGCGACCGGACCCGGCTGGGGCTGGAGGCTTAGGACAGGAGCCAACGTGGAAACTTCCACCTAAAGCCGCTCGTAACCCCAGACAAGGTTTAAAAAAATAAAAACAGCATCATGAGTCTCTGTCCACTGAGGTTACGGCTGAGCATGTTTCTGTCACAGCTTGCTCCTGTCCCAGTGACTAATCTCCCGGTTAAGGGATGCTTGCCAGGAGCACTTGATAGACTTCAAACATGTCAGTCTCAGATTAGATAATTCTTCCACAAAGGTAAACCAATTAGATCACAGATCAAAGTATAGCATAATTTCAATAATTAGGCATGCTATCAGAGAGCGGGGACATCGCCCGCACCAGCGCTCACCCTGTGCGCGGGGAATGGACTGGCCAAGCCGTCTCGGCAAGCGATGGCCGAGCCCAGGCAACGGCAGGGGCAGCGGAGCAGAAACCTCCCCTCCGGACTGCTCAGGCTCCTCAGCTCAGCTGCAGGCAACAAAAAGGAGCAACTCTTGCATTACAAAGAGACCCAGATGCCATCTGACAGCACTGCGAGTCCTGCCAAAACCAAACCTAACAACCGGTGGGTTGGTAGCTGGGCTTCACTTCTGCTGCTGCTGCAGAAGAACAGGCAGAAGTAAACTCCAAAGCAAGGGGGGATCCGGTGATGCAGTTTGCTCTGGACTATAATTTAGGAAAGAGATGCTATCAATGCCTGTTTTCAGGCAGAATGAAGGTATGCTGCCAGCGGTGGGGAGCCGGGTACCTCTGCCCCGCTGCCCAGCTTGCAAAGTAACACCAGCTACAGGACAAAAAGAGATTAATTGAGCTTCAAAACGCAGCCCATGCCTCTTCCTGAGAAACACACAGAGTCTTTAACATGGGAACATGGAGATTTGAGGACTGAAACATGCCTCCAGTACTTAAATCTGATTAATAACAAAAAGAAACCTATGGCAGCCATTTCTGTAAAGTATTTTCTCATCGCCGCTGGGAAGCAAGAGGTGGTGAGGCATGGGCTGGCCTGGGCGTGCACCTGCATTTATCTTCGCTGTATTTGATAAGGTGGATGGGAGTGTGTGGGTCAGTAGGGCTCTGATACGTTTAAGGATGCTAGTCGTGAAAAATATATGCAGGGTTCTGTTTCACATATCAAAGAAAACTGAGATTTCTGTAAAGAAGCTTGGTGGAAATCAAGCCCCCTATTTAAAAAGAAAAATTCAGCTTCAGGACACACAACATTAAAAGCAAGAGTTTCTTTACACTGTGCAAGCAGGGAAGAAGGAAAGGCGGCAGAGGGGCAGCTTCTGCAAGCTGTGGGAGCCACGGTGGCTCTGCGCCAGCCGGGCTCACCCGGCCCCCACGCTACGCAGACGTTTTGCCACGTCCTCCTGCACCTCCCCTTCCCCGCTCTGGGAAAGCTGGTGACTAATGAGGTGGCAGAATTTGCAGACAATGCAGGCTATTATTAATTATTCGGGCACTGAGCACCCAGCTCTGGGGCTGCCAGTGTAGTGCCTGCTCCCGGACCTTCAGACTTCAGTCGCTTGAGGTTAAGGATTAGTGTTTTTAAAATGCCTCCACTGTGCCAAAGGCACGTTGGCTGCAAAATAAACCCAGCTAAAGAGTAACTTGCCCATTGAACTGAGTTGCTTCCTCTGTTTCCTTGGTGCCAAAAGCCTCCTACCCAGCTGTTCACTCTACCTTTTCCCATGACATACTGCACAGACAGCAAAATTTCACCACACAGGGTTGAGTCTTTAAAATCTGTGGGATGTGATAAGCAGCACGCAGCAGCCAGTTGGCGGGAGAGCAGTCGCTGTCTGCAGGGACTCGCTGTATTTGACCAGAAAATACACAATCACATCAAATCCATCCGACTCCAAGTATACCTGAAACTATTGAGTGAAAAAACCATGCCGCCTATTTATATCCAATACCACACACAGCACGTGGGACCTAGGTGATGATCTATACAGCCCTACTCTATAGGTACACCTCAGCTTCTCCCAAAAGCCAGCCTTTTCTCCCTAAAGGCGCTCGCTCTGTCGGAGGCTCAAACACTAGTGCTGCACAGTGATCAAGCATGCGTCGACATGGTAAGGTATCACTCGTGCTTGAATTTATAGGGCTTTAAGGTATTCACTGCACGCTGACTCCTCACAAGTGGTACTAAATTAAATTTAACTTATTTGACCTCTTCCTCAGAGGCTGCATCTATCACAGCCGGCGCCGAGCACACCATGGGCACAGGAGCTACAGCCCAGCCACAGCTAAACTACCTACAGGTACAACTTCCGAACTGTCTGTACTGGAATAATTATTCATTAACCAGAAAATAAGTAATTCTGTAACGTCCCTCGCTAAGCATACTGGAAAGCAAAGTTCATGTAAGCTTCCAAGGAAGTGCTCTGAATGCTAGGAATAAGAGCTGCCCAAGAAGAACACTGTTAAATCACTTTATTACCATCAAATCACTCCAACCCTTTCCCATAAGCTCCCAGCTACTGGCTCCTGGAAGAGCCAATTCTGCCAGGCGTTGCCAGTGGGAACGCTATGGATGGAGAAGCTTCCTGAAAAACTGAAACTGCTGGAGAAGGTGCTCTGGCTGCCCGAAGTGACCTGCCGCCTGAGTTCTCAATCAGAAATCACTAATTCACCATCCTGAGTATCAGCCCCTTCACATCAGAGAAGAAAACACTAGCGGAGCCTCATGTAAATGGCCGAGCTGTAAACCAGGGAAAAATCTGACCTCGTTTCTAGGAGTAAATCTGAAGATGAACAGCAAGAGATATTAAAAAATCTTCACCGGTTGCTCCAACTGGAGCAGGGTGAGCTGCACCCTCCGTGCTGTACCCCAGGCACCAAGTCCAGCAATGAGACCAGCTCCGCTCGGTGCACGAGTGACGAGCACAGATACTTCCATGCCAAAGCGCAGGGCGGGCTACCAGGGTTGGGTAGGGCTGCTCACCGCTGCTGGAAAAAGCCATAAGGGAACAGAAAACTCCTTCAGACGCCTTCAAACCACAGCAATTCATATCCAGCTTCTCACCTCTACCAGTCCCAAAAGCTTCTGGTTTCTGCCTTCACTGAGAAGTCAGTGCCAGGGCTGGGACAGGGGGGCTGAGCAGGGTGACACAGGCGAGAGGCGAGCAGCACCAGCAAAGCCTTCGGCACTCACTCTGCCCCTTGCAGGGGTCTTGCAATGGTGTCTGGTGTACGTGCCATGCCTTGGTGGCATGGAGCAGCCTAGCAAGTGTGTCCCCAGGGAGCTGGGGAAAGGCACTGGAAGACAACCTGGCTCAAGGGAGTTAACTGGATGCTAACGCCCCGGTCTGGAGAGCAAAACTGGTGCTTGTGCTTGAACCTTTAATTTCGGTCAGATCTGAGCACCGTTAGCTGGAATTAAAACACAAGTAGGTTAAGTTCCAGACAAAAAAACCCTCCAACATAACAAAAATACATACGTTAATGTTTAAATTAATTTCAAAGCACAGATGGTAGAAAGTGGAGGGGGTGGTGAGAGAAAAGCAACCCAGCTTTGGGATCAGGATCTGCTAGATCGGCTCAAGCCCTGTTGTACAACTGCAGGCGGCACCGACCCAGCACAGTGGCCACCTGCTTCGATGGAAAACGGTGATTTTATGTTGGGACAACTCGAGGAGCCGCAGCAGACGGGGAGCTGCTCTGGAGGCAGGGGAACGTGGCTGGGCCAAGGGGCTCCTGCACCCCGGGTGCCTGCCAAGGGGTCCGGCTGAGCCCCGCAAAGCAAACGGAAACCCTGCAGCCTCCTTGTCTCGGCCGCGGGATCACACCTAACCCCACACTAACCCCACATTTCCACTTGCTCGTCATTACACTTACAGACTCATTCTTATCACCCTGGCCTGACGATCACCTTTTTCACCTGTGCTGTGAACACATTCACTTTTCCACCATCATCTCCATTTTAAGACCAAGCAGATGGCTGAGTTTGGGATCCTCTGTTCCCAGGGTTTAGCACGTCCCCGCAGATCGAGTAACACTGGTGCTGAGCTGGCATCTCCCAGCCTGTTCCTTTCAAGCAGCAATAACAACGGGATTTGATGCAACTGCACGAATCAAATAAGACTGCCAGCGCTTAATCCTGTACCATCAAGTTTTGCTCCTCAACTGAGTTCTTGAACCGAAGAGGTTTTTTTCACTGAGCTTTCCTGACAGCATGTCCTGGCTTGTCATTCCTAATACGGAGAAAAATGTTGGGTACAAAACCAATCATCTCAAATTTAACTGAGCTGCTTCTTTTCAGGGTTTTATCAGCACCCGTTTTCCTTGTTTTAAAACCAAATTCTGTATTTTTT